GGGGAAACAGATACAAGACAAAAACTTATCCGGTGTCCTACGTGAGCGATTAAATGCGAGCGGTGCGAGTTGCGTGGGTGAAGCAGAAATATCAAACTGGCTGTTTGTGTGGTGCTGTCCTAGGTTCCAGCAAAGTGGCCAAAGTCCGAGATCAAGTATTTTGATATTTTCGCGCGAGTTGCTGCACTGGCCAGTAAGGCGCATGTGCAAGAAAGCTCTGACCGTGCAGTACAGGGGAGGCGCATGCACAGGAAGGCTTGTGTGCTTCTATTGCGGTCTCTCACGTAGGACACAACAAGCGATTCCCCGCTTCATATAACACCCCATTCTGCTTATGCAGCTCGCTTGTTATCACTTATGTAGGACATTGCCTTAGAGGGAGATAGAGATCTACCCTGGTGGAAACACCAACCACTAATAAAAAAATTAGTATTTTAACCAACAGCAAATTTATATACTGGTAGAATGGGATGTAAAGGGTTATAACAACAAAACGTTCATCTCTGGGTTCTACTCCTATATCATAACATAAAGATACAGGTAATACCTTCACACATTTATCTTTTAATGGCTGACTTTTCCTGTAGGTCGTGATAAGTATGGATGGCACTGCCTACCTAACTTAGTTACAGTCTAATCATGCCCTGTGAATTACAAATGCATTACTATAGAACGTTACAGGTATAAAATAAAACTTAATGTCAACAATTATAATAAAGAACAGATGAATGATAAATAAAAATGTCAAATGACTGAGAATACAATGGCATGGGCGTGTTAAACATCTTAAAAGAGATGTGGCCACATAAATGGGAAGAAAGGATACCACCAGGAATACAGGAGCTGGAAACAATCAGACAGCAAACTTCTAAATGAACAAAGCTGAAGCAGAAGAGGGTGTTTCTTGTAACTAAACATGCAGTCAGCTGAGTTACATAACATTCAATGGTAGGAATATTGATGAAATGGAAGACTATTCTAAGGCACTGTTACAGCATTCACTTGAAAGGACTGAGCAAAATCATAAAAAACCTCAGCCAGGTATATACAGGATAAAATAAACCAGTATTCTGTAGTGTTTGGTAGAAGTAGAAGGAAAAGCTTGTTTTTATACTAACTTGAACAGGGTGTTGAGAGCCAATATAGATGTTTCTGTTGAATTTTCCACATCTAAAGCATGCAGAAGTTCCAGGTAGTCACCTTTCATGTTGCGGAGCCAACCAGGTAACAATGCAGTTGCAACAAAACTTCTCACAAGTTCTGTCAAGTCACAAAAATAGTTTGATACACTCCATAAAAGCATAAAAATATAGCATTTATCTTCCTACATATTTTCACATTTGTTACGTCTCAATTACTAGCCCGTGACTGCCTACTTTTGAAACTATTTAGTCACAAGAAGGAAATAAAAAATATTTGTAATTAGTAAAACCGTACATAACAAATTTGTTGTCAAATATACAAAGCTAACCAGCACTTACCACCTGGCATAAATTAAGACACATTGTCCATGACAACTTATCAACTGATTCCTCAAATCAAAAGACATAAAAGTATATTGTTCTAGAAGTCCCATAAACTTATAACACAAACCTGATCGATCCTTTAGTCCTTCACGTAACAATCTCTCCCGCTGCTTGATAGTAAGAGAACGAATACTTAGTTTCACGAGAACGACATACGCATGGCGTCGTACCGTGTCCTTTATGTCACGTGTCCGTTCCAGAATAAGAGGAAGAGTAATATTGGTACGCCCTATGCAGTTCAATACTGAGCGCCGTACAGCCGCACTTGGGTCAGCTTCCAGGTGGAAAAGATATGCTGCAATACAACAGGAACTTCAAATCAAGTAATGCTACCACCACCAAGATCTGCATCGGCGGCGGCTCCAGGCGGGCTCGCGCCTGGACCCTTCCTGGCACACTGCCGCGCCCTCCTACTCACTGGGGCTTCAGCGCAACGGCCTTGCCTTCCGGTGGCTGGGAATAGGCACAGAGCTTTAGCGCCATCTAATTTCAGGTGAGTAATTGCTCTTATGTGGCACAGTGGGTTACCAGAATGCATTTAAGCCAGGCAACAATGACCACCCCAAACAAATCTGATGCTCAGAATATTGCAACAGTCACTTGCAATCTCAATATTTCAAGAAGGAATGTTGTCACTCATAGCTTACATTACTTCTCTTCTATCTGCTAAAATGACAACTGACAATCCACTAACGAATACGAATTTCAATTAGCATATCTGCAGAAGTGATTAATGAAATGGCACTTAGTGACTTAAGTCATTCTTTGGATTGGATTTTTAATAGTGCTTTTTGAAATTCATAGGCTATACATCACTGATTGTTACAATGACTGTGAAAGAGGAATTGAAAAGGACAGCCTATTTTAAGGTACCATATTTGACATACCGGTATTATTTAACCTTGTACGTTAAATTATTTACCTTTAATAACTGGACACTTATGGTTGGTAGGATCCTGAAGACGCTGTAAAGCCATAACAGCCTGGGCTCGAACAGCTGCAACTTTATCCTCAAAACAGAACAGCATGCATACATTTGTTTAACAAAAATCACTTGGGATTATGTTATGGACCTCACAATGCACAGTTTACCATGTTTCAAAATTATTATGCTACTCAACAGTACACCCCAATTTCACCAACTCCTGGTTATGTCATCTATTTCCCATGTTTATGAAAAGACTCTACTTGTGTCACAGACATAAAATGTAACTAAGTAAAATTGCTAAGTGTAATTAATTCTGTTAATCAAAGACTTGGTACGACACAGTATCAGTAATGCACTTGTTTCTTTACTTGCTCTTACTCACCCGAAGTCGCTCCAGCATATTTGTACAGATTCTGTTGCACAGATCATCATCAAGGGATGCTTCTTCTCCTAAACTGCTTAACAGTTTATTGATAAACTGGCAAACTCTAAACCGAATATTCTGGTTCCTGGTTTTATGAAGCTGAAAAATAGTTCAGCTTATCAAAATAAAAACTTTAAGATATTGAGTACAAAACAGATACAAGATGGGTCAAATTCCTTTAATTAGTTCTAACCCTTTAAAGACAAATTGTCGATATTTAAAGAAAAGCACCTATGTTTCCAGTTGTGCATGTCCACAATAAAAAACCATTGTTTATTTGTGGCTTACTTTTAACAATGCTGTAAGCACTACAAACTATACAGCATTGAATGATAGCGAATAACGAACTGGAAAGAACGTGGAATGAAGCAGTCATGGTGTAACTTAAACTATTAACATGGTATTTACCTAGAGGGACCAAGGTATGCCACAAGAAACCTCAGTCAGGAAGGCTAGTTTCTGTGCTGTGATATGTACCAAGAACCACAAAGATTAATGAAAGACCATTTTCATGACAGCAAGGCAGACGAGGGATAGCCTAGCAAAGAACACATAAATGGTATCTAATATGGGACTATATTGTTTATATGTGATGCCATTCAAAAATGTAACAAGGTAGGCTGTCACTTGTTAGTAATTAGCAAGTAACAGAAGCTGTAGTATGCCTCACACAAAAACTTTTACTCACCACAGGCCACTGTTCAATGAGGTGATAATCATTTCTGGAGCTCTGAGTGCAAAAATGTCAAAAAACATTCACACAAAGAAGACATAAATGCTGTAAAGCTGTAACTTTTGAAAACACTATGAAGATCTGGAATCATTACTGTTACAGGACGTTTATTATGATTAACCTTTATCATTCAGATTTCATGTCTTATGCATAATCAAATAGGCTATGCATCACAATAACATATCACAAAATGGTTAGCCCCAAAGAGTCTAGCTGGCAGCCCAGTAACAAAAAGGTTCATATCTCCTATTCCCAAATGATAAGGGTTAAAGTATAAGGACTATTTTTGGCATACCTTAAGCAGATAATCAAACAACAGTGTTAGAAAAGGAGGCATCTCATCATTTTCACTTAGAGTATCTTCATTATTAACCTGGCCATCATACAAAGAAACACAGAATTTGGCTGCAAACTCAAGAGTTCGTTCCACTGTAGTGTGTTTTTCTCCAATAAGAAACAGGGATCCGAGGCAGTTGACATAGTTCTTAAAAAATCTTTCCAATGGTTCCTGTTGAAAAAAACAACAAATAAAAGGCATTCTTAATCATTACCATTTACACAGTTCAGATTAGTTCTAAAGACAATCTATTTCTATGTAGTATTTGAGATTTTTATGGTGTTGAGTCTGAAGATGGCCGTCTTCTGGGTTGTTGTGCTGTGTAGTCTGGTAAAATTTCTAAATCTTCAATGTATTTATATCTTACCTGCCTACAAAAATGTAGCAGTGCATCAAATATCATTACATGAAAGGTATTCATAGAAAGTTCAGTACATAAAACATGTATGAAGTCAATTTCTTAAGACAGATGGTTCACTGTGAAACGAGCGAGAGATGTCAACACATGCCATGATTGCCCCTAAGATATTTTATATATTTATGTTGTCAAAACATGTATGTCTTTTTTTGTAAGCAGTAAGTTCTTTGTGAGAACACACTCATACACATGATTCAGATATCCTCCCTTCAAGTTGAGCTGGCCCCACAAGTTCACTTCACAGTGGTATTCTATATAAAAGAAACTCGTTGCATATACATACAAACCGAGAATACAACTCTTAATTATAAAAAGTTATAACAGAGATTTGAACATAAATTACTATCAAGCATAGCCAGATGAGCAAAAAGAAGTATGGGGAAAAAACAGTGCATCTCATGTTCTTATCCGATGGCAAAATCCATCTGTAACATAATGAATGTAAAACTATTTTCAATGAACTGAATAAAATGAATTCAGCAATACACATATCCTTCACCTCATATGTAATGCACTAAAACGTTAGGTTATATTCTTATACTTTATGTGGGAGAAAATTGTAACAGTCCCACAAATCGTCCTCCCCTCTTCATCACAATGTGGTCGAATCCGAACCCAATTCTTGAATTTCCTACTATTTTCAATATAACTTAGCAAAAATGAACAGTAATGTAAACACATCTAAAATATTCTGTTTGTACGATCAAAAAACGAATTTAATATGCGTAAAAATCTGGAATTTCCAAATCCTGAACAAATCTAACCTGTCTCTGTAAGCCTCCTGCTAAAACAAAAAAAGAGGGGACAACCTTCAACTGTACATATTCAAATCTAGAAGTGTATTCAGATGTAAAATATACTTTGAACAGGCATTACCTTTACGAATTGCTGTTTCATTTTCTTGAGTAATTTTTCATGGGACGTGGTATTAAATTGCGAGTCGTAAAAAAATGAATGCACATCTACATACATTGTAGACTGAGAAGTCTCAATATTTCTTGTGCGTATACTCATATTTACACAAATATATCTAGAAATTTCGGCAATATTCCTGTCTGAACATCACAGCCATACACCTTGCTCCAAGAAATAAACGGAACTACAGATACATAACAATATCTCTAACATTTCACTCCTACAATGCGAATGCCAGCCTATTCCCGCCAATATAACACGCTCACAGTGGAGCCATTTTCACAAACATCTACTTCCCCAGTGAATATAACCTATTGAATGATTCGATTCTTGCGAAATACTGAATAATGTGGATGCCTAGCAAAATTTTTTTTAAAAAAATCATCAGTCTGCGAAAAAAATTTACTGACTCTACCTGGAAGACAGATAACGTTAAGAACACAAGATTTTCACCATGATTTTGGATACTCTCTGTAGCAGTCACGGATCGTTCCGTACCATACCACATACAACAGTACAAGAAATTTCCCTCCTTTTATCGCACAAATGTTCTCTCCCTGTGCACAAGAGCCCTACAATGGTCCATTGATCTGACTATAGATATGCAATCCACACCCTTAAATCCAAACTGATATTAAAACCTCCAACTATGTCTAAGCTTTCATGTAGTCTCTTCCTTCAAGCTTTTAGATTACAAATTTGTGTACCTTTCTTACACTTTAACTCAGCTAGTCAAGAACAACTTCTGTTCTTTCTCAAAGCTACTGTGTCCAAACTAGCTATGGGGCCAACCCAGCCTATGCAAAGGGTTCTGGTGGTTCTTTCCCCAAGAGTAAAGCACAGGGTATGAAGCTGACCACTCAACTAGTGCTGAAAGAGAATGGAGCTACACCTCAACTACCCCATAAATCTTCATGGTATGGTGCTTCGTAAATACCACGGAAAACTATACCTTTAAAATATGTAAGTAATCAATTGACATAAATAAGCTTATAATAGATAAAATTTGATACATTTGTGGTTTTGAATAAATATAAATTTTGCCTTTGTTATCACATAACACTGACATTTATACAGTATTTATTCTTTACAAAGACTGTTAAGTGAAGACCTTCCAACAACATTAACAGATTTGTTGAAAGAGTAATTAGTATTCCCAAGACAGTAGCTATCACTAAGATGGCTACAATCAACCTTTCCTTAGAAAAGTATATGACATGCTTCTTATGTCCTAAGTTCAGTTTGTAGCCTCCTCAGTTACTTTAGTAGCAAATTAAACACATTACAAATTAAGAACTGTAGGTCGGATCCAACCCACAGGCTAATTTTACTTACAGTTTTAACCGTTTAGTTAACCTTAACTGCATCACTGTATATTAACCTGACACTCAATTGATGACAGTCATCTGTTTCAGAATATTGCATTTGAGAAGAGCAAGAGATGTCCAAAACATGCTACTCTGTATTACAAATAAATTTATACTTTACTGTGTATGTTTTCTAATTGAATATTATTTGTTCTGTGATACAGAAATAAAGTATTAATCATTTAAACAATCCCACAACTGGAACATAAAATTTATCATGACTCCCTGCTCAACATTGCAGTGAGTAATGACATGCCAGGTAGGAGCATTTACATGGCACAGGAAGGTCTGGATTCCTACATGAGGCAAGCCCGAGGATATGGACCTATGCCAAAGGCTGCACAGTGCCTCCACATAGGAGTTCGGACTTTATGCAGGAATACAGGATCAGAAGGCCCTACTATTCAGTCCATACATAGGGGTAAGGCTGCAAGACAATATCCTGGATAAAACAAGAAAAGGGCCCTTATAAAATGACAGGGCATGGGGAGTTTTCATGTTTCTGGATGGAAGCATGGACTTAAAGAACAGCAACAAGATTGCCAGCAGTAAAAAGATTAGTTGTTATTCTACATCTTTCTTTAAACTGTCTCAATGCTTTCTAAACTCTACAATCAAAAGATATCACAGCAATTAACACTAATAAAATCTCCTTGGGCTATCAGCTCCCTTTTCCTGTCTGTAAGCACAAATTTCATCGATCCTAGTATCTGTAAGTCTCTACCCATCTCCCTCAACTATTATAATAGTTTTATTTTCACCAAAACTTTACAAATAATATTCAGGGGACATATGGTGGGTTAATACAAAATTAAACTTTAACAAATCTGACTACCTTTATTTTAATTAAACACTTACATCAAAAATGTTTCAAACATAAATCATACTCTTTTTGGGCTATCAGCCGTGTTAGTCACTGACATTTCGAGGACCATCTCTGGCCTCATTTTCAAGGCTGTTGACAGTGTGGTTCATAGTGCGAACTAGTTTAAATGTCCAAGACTCATGCAAGTATTCGAGCAGCATTTGGGGGGGAGTGTGGAATGTGTGGCGTGGCGGGGTGTTGTCTTTGTACTGCTGGAACCCTATGTTGCCGGAGTAAGTTGATCACTGGATCCCATCATCGCCCAAGCGTGAAGCCTCCTTCTCTGTTGAATCTTCACATCATATATAAATCATACTCACTAATAAGATATTTTAAATGATATACATTGTCTATAACAAGAAGACCAGAAAATGACAATTATTTAGTGGACTGTAAATTTAATATTGTAATAGTGGAGTGTTCAGTCAACAATATACAAAGGGTCACTATTAAGAGTACTTTCATCTGCAGTAACATACTTCTTGTATGTTTCTCACATGGAGGAGATGCTTCAACATGCTTGACTGTTACAAAAAACAAGCAAAGGATTTCTATTCATTTACCTCACTAATAAAAAATAATGTAATCTCCCTTAACAAAACTTTCTGTAACATATCTATCCATTACTATAAGAATGAGGTTAAAGTACACTGAATGTCAGAGATGAAGTCAGACACTTACATTAGCACCTAAGAGAAATTTACTGAGGGGAATTTGTGCTACTACAAAATAAATTCAGAATAAAATTAACAGGTCATGTTGAATGCTTAGAGAAAATAATAATTTCACACAAAAGTTTGGTAGAAAAACCTCAAGTGAAGAGACCACCTGTAAGACGTAGGTATAGATGTGAGAATAGTATTAAAATGGTCCTTACAGAAGTATGTACTATGCTTAACTACCTCTTTCACAGAAGGCAGGAATTCATCAAAGATCATAGTTTAGAGCTAGTGAGTCACAGAACTGGAAAATTCCATAAGCAGAATTAGTACACGTATGTAATCCTGAGTAAAATAAACATTTTTTTCATAGTTTCAATTATTCTTCTATTTACTAATAAAACATTAAACTCTTTAAGTGTCAGCTCTTCTAGAAGATAGGACATGAAGAATACCCAAATGCCATCTATATCTTCTTATTTTAAATATAAACATCAATTAGTATTTAAATAACTAACAATATATTTTCTACAACAGGAGAAATAAAAACAAATGTATGTCATTAGTTAGTTTCATTTTGTTGAAGATATTCTTGCAAAGTTATCAAAAGTATTTAGCCATAAAATATTTCCCCCTGTATTTCACTAAATATTCATCATAAAGAAAAATGTTTCAAATAGAAGCAAGTGATCTCAGTGAGATGTATATTTTGTTTAAATTTTTTGTGCAATGAGTAATTTCCAAGTTGAAATGCATAAAGTTGGCCTTATAGTGATTGATAATATAAACCAAAATTAAAATTCACTTTACGAATTTAGTATAGATGCCAACACTAAATTTCATCTTAATTTTATCAGTTGTTTTGGGGATAAAACATATGGATGGAAAGACACTATCTCCACAATATGAATTCATTAACACACTAGGGACACATAAAAATACAAAATATAAATATTAATAAAATGTTACATTTATAAAATTTAAAGCGTAATTCACAAATTCTTTACTGTATCATTCTTTCCATTAACTGTAATAATTTGTTTTGTTGATTTTGTTCAAAACAACATACAAATTTGTTGCAATTTGTTGAGATTACCACTGGTACAGGTGTATAAGAATAAATGTGTGTTTAGTAGTACTAACCTTACAGTAAGCAGACAGTAGCAAGCTTAATAGTTTTATTTCTTTGGTATAGTCAAAGATGGAACAGAAAGTGCTGATAACTCTGGGAAAGGCTGACTTCTTTCCTCCGCACAATCATCCAACTAAAACAATACATAACATCAGATTGATGAAAGACTATCGGATAACAAGCCTTGTCAGGTGGCTGAATGGTGAATGAACCATTTCTTCTTTCAACTTCGGTTGCCGCAAAAGCTTCACTTTATACAACATAACATCAGACTTGGTACACCCATATTAGTTCTTTCAGCAACATAGTTACACATTGTAAAGGTTTATATACTGGGTTTCAGCAAGTTGTGTATTGAAGACAGCATGGACATTTCATAAGCCAACTTACATCCTTTAGGAAGGAAATTACGAGCCAATAACCTTACTTAACAACAGTTGAAAGCTGCTGTTACCTTTGCTGTACAAGATCTGAGAGAATCAAAAGGTTGCAAGTCTCCAGAGGCCAAAAATGGGGAGACAAATTTATTGGCTCCCTCAAATATCCCTTCATCATCAAATGAAAGATTCAGCAGAGGGTTGTGCATTGTTGGCTTGTAGTCTGGGAAGGGTTTGTACTTCTGACACACAACAAAGGCCTCTAAACACAAAACAAAAGAACAACAAATGAAGTAACTTCATCTACTAATCAAACAGTTTTAGAGAAATCAGTATTCCCCTGGTTATTACACTAGTGTACATAAAAAATTGGCAATATTATACTTAATAAAATACTATAATGTATACATCACACTAAGGGCACAGTCATATGACCTTGTATTATACATGAACAACAACAGGATTCATTCAAGAACTAAAAAATGAATAAGGTGATAAATGACCATTGCAGAAATCAAAGATTACGTGGAAAAATCAAGTAAGGATATAAAATACTAAAGACTGAAGAAGTTTTATCACAAGATGACCCATTTTCGTGGAAAGGTCAATTGAAAGATGATGAATCACTCAAATATTTTAGGTCTCTAAACAGTACCTAAGTGGTTATACCCTAAAATTTTTGTGAAGTTCAGAGGTATTCTAGAATGTATTTTCAATCAGAATATAAGTGAATTTATGCTTCTTGATCTAATCTTACATTCAGCTTATACTATATAACAATTTAAAAATGAGCCTACTCACCAATACTGGTACTGCGGGAGCTATCTGGTTTAGTAATGTTAACACGGCTGAAGAACAGCTGAAGCTGGGACAGCAACAGAGTTACATCTTTGCCACGAAATATCTTTGCCACAAAAGTTCCTCCAGGAGCAAGAACATGTGTGGTAATGTTAAGGGCAGCCAACAGCAACTGTGCTTGAATAAACTCATCAACATCATGCAAGCCAGTCACTGGAAAATATGTTACTTTGTTATTGGGAAAAATAATAAAGGGCACATATGAGCAAAGATAATGACTGACTGATTATTGACTGGTGCCTTGTCATCTCTGGGTCATATTTATCTTACCATCAGGTGCTCCATCACAAATGACCAACTGGGCTGCATCATCTTTGAACTCTTTTATAAGAGCTTGTGCAGTATCTTCCTTGGTTATGTCTCCTACTATCTGTATTAAACCTGGTAATGGAGCCATTGCTTGCAGATCCACTGCAACAATCTTTACCTTTGACAGATCTGAACTGGGATGTGATCTGTTAACAAAAACAGTGCACCATAAAGTTATTCACATCAAATTAACTCTCCCATGACTTGGTACTTTGCCTAACCTTGCAATTAAATGTAAATGGCAGCAAGCCCCACGTACCTCAGATATGGTGTTACATAACTATGGCTTAAAACAAAGTTCCAATTTAGCTGAGTTAGTGAATGCTTCCTGTAAAGTCTAAGATCTAAGTCTTCAAACATAAGCCCCAACCACAGGAGCATTCCAATTCTTGATGAATTTCTCACAAATACATACTTTTTAACTTATCTTGTAGCAAATTTCCAACAATTATGCCAAATGTCATTAGCATGCAGATAAGAGCATAATCAGTAACTAGGAGAAATGAATTATGTGTTTTTAATCTTTCAGTCTTTTTGCTTTTGTTGATAAAAACAAATTTTGGACTGGCATCATATTACTTGATTTTTCTTAAGTATTGGTAGGGTTTTACAGAGATGACACTTTATCCTGGGGTCATAATTGCCTTAAAACAGTTCTTGTACTTGTCAACTTCAGCTTTAAACCCTAACATACATTCAATTCCTGATCCACAACCTACCACTGCTTTTCCCTTTGCATTTCAATGCAGTGAGTGTCCGTATGGGGGGAACAGAATACATATGCATAAATTTTTTTTTTTAAAAAAGTTTGCATACTCTGATCTTTAAAGAAAGGGACTTTGGAAGCACAGTTTGGGAACCTCTTATGTAATGTATGACACAGATCATAAAGACTTTTGTAATGCATTGTTACAATGTGGGTAGCATACTTACACATGGACTTATACCTGTTCCTCCAACATCCATCTCACTTCAACTGCTGGCTACAACTTATGTGGTCCACTTACAAAATTACTAATATCATGATTTCTATAATTTGATCCTTGTACATACCTCAGCTTCTTTACTAGAACCTGACTCCAGCTACCTGGGGCAGCACACAGATCAACTGCTCGGGTTACTCCTACAGAAACCATAATAGTAACATAAAAGCTATGAAAAAAGTGTGACCACAAATTTGCCATTGTGGGCCTAGTAGTTCAATCAGTATTCTGTCTGGTTACAGGCTGGGTGATAGGAGTTTGAGGGGATATACCGTACTGCTGTGTTGTGATATATCAGAATACGTGACGCTATTGTGAGGTTATGTTTGTGAACAGTAATGGATGTTCGAAACGGCTTGTTTGTGGTTTGCTAACCCGCTGATCCCAAGTAATCAATTCGTCAACATTTTGTCTTAATTTATGGTTAAGCTTATATACCTTTAAAGATATCAAATTGCTGATCCAAGTGCAATAGTTTATAGGCACTTCTTGCTCTCCAGCCTTCTTCCTTTGCTAGTCGGTAATAGATATCACGTTTATCTCTCGATGTTTTCTTCATCTTGGAGAAATTCGAGATAAACACTTCGAACAAACGGCAAAACAATCCACTAATGTAAACATTCAAACTCGACGACCCTCGAAGCTAAACAGGTACACCAACTTTGATGCTAAATTAGCACAGGGCATACATGGCCACCTGACAACCAAGTGGTAGAATGTTATTTTTGTAGGGTCAAACACGTGAGATTTGTCATTACTAACAATAGAAGACACAGAGAAAAGATTTGAAGGTTACTTTGATCATGAATTCTAATACTTAAATTCAAATGAAAACGATATTATAATTTCAATGTACAGAACTGTAGAAATTCCCATAAATAATCAAGATTTTAACTGCCTGCAAAAAGAAAATGTTTCAGGAGTGGGGAGTGGTGGGTCTACCTAACCCAAATTATTTTTCCATCTTGCATTGTGGTTGACAGCCATGTTATCACCTGCGACCAACTATATTCATGAATGGGTTTCATTTGAATGTCTCACAGTGCAACACCTACTGCCAAGCTTAATCACTATAAAATTTATTTCTAAATGCAAAATGTATAACATCTCTGAACATTTGTATGAAAAGCTACCATGGCATTATGTAATAATTTTCAGCTACACAGCATGAAACTTCTGCACATTATCAAAAACATTACTTTTTGTGCTTGTTAACATGTTGTGGCAGAGATTTAAATAAAAAGCTACATGTTGCATAACAAACCCAGGATTATTTCACATAAAAGTAATATGGTATGAATGCCATGTTATATGAGACCCAATTTTCAAGTGACAATGTGTAGATACTACATTTTGAGAAACTCATACTTGCAATGGATTAGTTCTTATCATAATAAAGAAATACCAGAGATATAAGATGTACAGACTTTTTTATTTTTTCCACTGTGAAGCCTTCCTACAAGAAAAATTAATATTACACTTCCTAAACAAATATGTTCTACTTCTTGTAAAGAGCTGTTTGTAGAAGATGAATTTATAAGAGATTGTGAGATTTGCAGTTCTCGCACTCGTGAAGAAGACAATGATGTTCTTCTGAGTTGTGTGCAGACTTGTAGGCAATTACCAACACTTTGGATAAACATACCGTCTTCATCTTCAAAACACTGGGATCTACCTACAAGTTCATGTAATGTCATAACCCAGAAGAACAGCATTATTATAACAGACATGACCATGTCCCTATTTAATATCCTAACAACTTCATAAATCATAACAGAAACATGGTATGCAGCCATCACTATATAGTAAAATGGTGTTTCTACAGGATAAATTTTTTGGATGAATGTAACACTTGTCACACTGCAGAAAACTACTAAGATATAAGTGAAGATGTATACATTTTGGAGTGAAAATGCCATCTATGAAAGTGACAGACCTGACCAATTCTTCTGTCATGTAAATGAAAATAAAAGCCAGAAGGGACCAGGGAACAAAAGGGAAGATACTGAAATGTGGCCAATTACTTCTCTTTCAGCCTAGTAAATTGTCATTAATGATATCAAACGCCTATTATTTGAGAAATAAAAGAGTATAATCTCAGCTTATAGTCTACCTGAATAGGGTTGGGAAAGGATTACACACTGGATCAAAATCCTGATGTCCCAACACTGCAAGTCAGCAAACTTATGAATTTGGGGAGTAAAATATAAGGTACATAATGTAACCAGTAGGTGCTGAAGTCTGGTCTACACAGGAGTCTTGCTACATAAAAGTAAGTCAGAATGACCAACAAACAAAATCTTCCTTGGCCCTTGGAATGACACTGGGTGACTAGAAGTTTTATAACAGACATTACAAGGGACAATTTTTGTGGTCACTGCATCACAATGCTGTCTCTCGCACTGTGAGAACAGCCAGTGAAAGCTTTGGCCCTGAGGCTATGTATGACACCAGAAAGGTATACATGGGTGACACAGGTAAAATTCCATCCAGGTACTGGATAGAGGCTGGGTGAACCCAGAGCTGGTATGGAGTTGATTGTGAAGAGAAAATCTAACTCTGACAGGAATCAAATCCTTGTCTGTAACCAGTCACTTTACCAGCAATATCATCATGGGTCATGTAGGAAATCATGTTAATTTCTTTTCTATTAACAAGTTCCTAAAACAGATTGTTTATAATATAAATGATTTCTGTAATTAGGTACTAAAGTGTTATTAGTTGCATGTTTAGCTTCAGCATACAACACAGATGGCAAACTAGAGGGTGAGCTCTGTGAAATAAAGGAAATCCCTACACAAAATCCATGAAGATGTTACGTGTACCTTCTTTCAAATGTTTCCACATGTGCAGAGGCCAGAAAATTAATAATTACATAAATAAGTTATTCAGTGTTGTGAAGAATTCTTGATTATACAGATTTTCACTACCTGAAAAATAGAAATAGATAACTTCAAAGATTCATGTCATTCCTAAGTCTAATTATTAACACATACAGAAATGCTTGATACAAAATATGATAGATATCAGCACATCACACCAAATTTAAACTTGCATAGTTACAGTTACTCAGTGTTTACCACTGTCAAAACAAAAAAATAATTACAGATTTTGTGCACTTGGCATGTTATTTTAAACCAAACACATAAATGACACTGACACAGTTGCACATTTTTATCTAAAAATCTATTACCATACAAATGTCAGTAATCTACATTTAATGTTGCTAATCTTATTCACATATCATAGGTTGTATTGTTGATGGTAGAGAACTGGAGGCATTAAGGGTACTCTTCTGTGGCATAACATCGATACTAATTTGTATTAAAATAGGAAACTTGTTTTAAAGGCTAATGGAAGGGACAGACACTGCACATACACACTCACACAAACATACTCATGTGATTATTAGCCTTTCAATCAAGGCTGAACATCAGAACTCTTTGAATTGAAATGCAATTCATGTTCTAATAAAGTGAATCATACTATAATTATTCTTAATGGCATAATATTGAAATATTTTTAAATTATTCAAAGTATCTTACAGTACATACAGAGAGCAAACTTACCACTTTCTCATTTCTTCTGTGCCCAATGCTTTATGGTCAACAATTTCCAATAATATGTTTGCAAACAACATAATATTAACATTGTTAAAGTTCATTACACACATGGTAAAATTCAGCATCACAATGTTGATTTTAAATTAATCTCATGGTGTCCTTCACACATTATGACACTATAACTGCTCTTGTCAAAGGACGTTTCATCTCAATCAGGAAACATAATTTTTGTGCTCATTTAAGATATTAAAATTTGAATCACATTTTCAACATGGTAATTTCTAATCAATTTTCATTCTGAGTAATTAACTAATTTAGAATTTTTAATATGGATCAGAGAATAGTAATATTTAAGTACATTTGTTACCAAATTCTTGTAAGAGGAAAGGACAAACATATACTTCACAAATATTTCAAACTGAACAAATTCTATAATGCAAAACTTCCCAACAGTTGCATTTTGCACCATATGTAATATTAAAATACTAATGGCAGCAACCATTCTATACAACACCTCTTACAAATTCTTTCTCTTATGATGTCTAAAAATGCATAAATCATTTTTATCCTCTGGGTTAAAAACATGACAACCTCCACACACGACTTACGAAATACTCTGTCATCAGATCAAGAATGCATATGCCATCATACTAACATATCGGTATTTTTATATAAAGAAGTCACTGATTCACAAAAGGCATTAAGTAATCAGAATAATGACCTGCTGAGTCACCCAGTAATACATACACGCCATAAAATTATATATACATAAATATTTCAGACATACCATTTACAGACAGGTTTTGAATTGAAGATTTCTAGAAATCTTCATACTCACTGCTGTGAAAACCTCAAATCTTACATAGGTTTTGAATTGGTTGAGGCTGATAAATTATTTATCTTCCTTTGATAAGTTCAATTTCAAGTTATTCAACAAATGAACAGCAACAAAGAAGTGTTAGCCATGAACTAGTGTACCAAGGTCTGGAACACAAAAATCAATCAGCAACTTCAAATATATTTTGTGCAGAAGCTAATAATAACCTCTTCCATTAAGGTACTGACAAAGTATACTGTATTTCAAATCCTTATGGTGACAAACAGCCCCATCAGTAAAAAAATTACATGGAACAAAATCCAACATTTAAATCTTGGATGCCAGATGTCTGCCACTCATTTCACCCAGCAATACACCGGCACATGCTGACACTGCAGCATCATCAAGTCCTCTTTTTGCGCCACATTAAACTTGCACTCTATGAAGATGCCTGCAAATACAAGATAAAATTTACTACCTAATAATTAAGTCATGTTTAAAAACCAGACTGGCAGAAATATTTTATAGTTAACCTGAAAGTACTGCATTTACATCTGATATATGGTAAAACTGTCTTTCAAAGCAATGAAAGGTTAACAATGCAGACATATACATTGTATCAATAATATTTAAATAATTTTCTGGTTCTTATGTTATATGGTGAATCTGCTAGACATCAACACTATAAAGAAACTTCCAAACACTTGCTGTTATGTTACTGCAATCAGTGCCCTTTGTCATCTTTCTTATTATGAGCCACATGGTATATCCCTACTCTAAAATGACTATAATATTACACCTATGCCATGGGGAAAAAATGATGCGTAAAGCACAAAAATGTTAATTCTGACACAACTTCACAAAATCCATCATTCAATCTGTAACTTGCTTAAGCAACGAGTCACCAAGTACAACATTACATTTTTTATCAGTAGGAAGGCACTGAAATTGTGATGATGCAAAAAAATAATTGCAACTGACAAAATTTATAAACAATAATAAAGAGGACCTCAAGAGGGGACTTAGAAAAAAGTAACCTGCTCAGATGTGATAAAATACATATTTAAAGCAAAATATTCCAATCTCATTGCCCTTCACATAAGTGATGTAAATGAGCCAATGAACAGAGATAATCCACCATTAGCATGCTTGATTTCCTTGTACATGATAACCTGCATGCCTGTCAGTCTTTAGTTCATTGCCAGGTCAGTGACTGTGTTAGAAATTGAAGAATGAACTGCTCTGTATATGTTTACAAACCTCTTTATCAAACATGCACATATGTAAAATTTAAAATGTTGTCATATACTTCCGATAGAAAAAAATTGTATTGTTTGACGGCAAGAAATGAGGTTAAAAATCCTTATTAGTAATCATTTTGTAACACACACATACTCCCTTGCATTACAACAAATTACCCAGAACACTACTGTTCCATTATCTTACATCTGACATGTTTATTCAAAATACAATCTGACATAAATTATTTTAAATTATAAAAAGCTTAAAAACTATTTCCATACATTATACACAAGGTAAATTGGTAGTTCACAAATATTTTAAGATGTTTCAATACCACTTTCAAACATAGTGATCAACATTTCAAAACCACTTTGGCAGAACATTTAATCTAATGCAAACACATTTAGGAAAAAGGTGAAGTGGACAGATAAGAAAGAACTAGAATTTTAAAACAAATTAAAATATGTCCAAAGCTACTTGTGTTACAGTATGACGCAGCATAAACATAAACAAGTATCTAAACAATATAAGACTTAGGAAAAAAGTGCACAGGTTTGGTGTTTAATTTTTCTTTAATACTTTCTTTTCTCTGACAAATATTTAGCAAGTTATGCTCAATATGGTCACAGAAATGCAAGTAGGTCTTCATGTGAAGTGTTCATTATTCTTATATGATTCAAAGAAAACTGGAATGGGTTTACAAAAGCTCACAAATCTCCCCTATATCAAATTTTGTTCAGCAATTCCCGATTTGTTACATGCAGACATATGGACAGACAGAAATGACAAACCTAATAACACACAAATAAATCGAGGTTCATAACAACTGCAACAGATTTTCCAAACAAAGATTGAGGAAAACTATAACTACAACAGTGATATATATCACACAAGTTCTATGTTATTTGTTTACTTAAGATTATTGTGATGTCCGAAGACTGGTCATTCAAAAGATTATGCTAGTAAAGACAAAATTAATCAACATAATTATTTTAACAAACCTCTTATGTAGAAACACACACACACACTACTTCAGGTAAAACCAAAGGACAATGCTGATAAATGTTCACCGATATATTTGTAACAATCATACAATTCCATTCTAAGCCTAAAATAGATCAAACATTACTCCTAGTAGCAAGTAGCATAACACTACAATTAATACTTACAGACAGACTCAGGTATGCTTAGTATTTGGTAAGAAGTGCATAACAATTTCAAGTCTTCAAGCACAGAAGAAGAAAGATTAAAAGGACCCAGAAAAAAAGTAAAAGTAATGAGAAAGGGTTGACTATTCTGAAACCAAAGACTTGGAACATTAAGTTATAGGGTAAATACCAAAATTACACAATCCATGCAACCTTTTGACTGTGTTACATATTGGACTTTACAATAAAAATGTCTGCCTTGGAGCATCTGCAGTCCTCTTGAATATACTACTAAACCATCACTAGCAATTACTGCTACTGACTGATACATAAACTTGTGCTTAAATGACTGGAAACATCTATATCGAAGAGTGCAGATAACCAACAATGCTATACAATAATGATTCCTAAAAGATCTCTACAAGGCTTGCTGAGCCTTGCTGTGAGCAAAACCAGTTTGAAAACCACAAAGGTCTGAATCATATAATTATTTTGTGCAACTGCATTAACTTCTCAACTTTTCACCACACTGAACATTCAGGTGTCAAAACCCTTGTCCAGCCATTGTTTCTCTTACATTAAAACTGAAAGCAGTGGGTTCTTCCTTTAACGTAACTCAATTTAAAGTTTGCTGTCAAATTACGTCAGGACAAGAATTCCTGTGCTTAGATTTAGTCTTCTCACCCACCGCCCTAAACCTTAATGTACCGACATGAACAAACATCATTCTTTCACTGAAGATGTCTGTCTTCTGGATTGTTGTGCTGTGTAGAGTGGTAGAAGTTTACCAACGTTTTAGAGGTGCTTGCTGCCTCTGTAACATCACCCTGATGAAATATGTTGTGGTTATCATGAGTGATAAATTATAATGATCATCTGTTTTATTATCTATGACCCAGAACAATAAATATTGCAATAAAGATTATAATTTATCTGTACTTAGTTGTAATAACAGTATTACTGATAATGTTCAGTCAGTAGTAAAAGACTGTGTGACACGTTACAACCACTTTCAAGAAAAGTCAAGTGATGACACTTGTAGCAGTACAAATTTAAACAGTATCAAATGTTCCATGGATATTTGTATACAGTCAATCAGGTATGCATATATTAATATAGGACTAATTACTTATTAAATAAATATGAAAAAATAAAATAGAACTCCCTGACAGTCTTTAGTGTAGGGCTTACTCCCTACCAAAATGTTGTTCAGATTCATAAAATGGTTTCGGTAATGAACCACTCGGATGGACAGACACCACTTCTACAAGACCCACAAAATTAAGATGTTTATAACTGATTTCCTTGCATAAAAATATTATATATAATGAACAATATCTGATCAAAAAACAAACACATCCCTCCGTTTAACAGACACAAAGTTTCTATCCCATTGGTTATATAATTTCTTTCCTTGTTCCAGTAATGCTTTAAATGTTGCAAAATGATTTGAGGAAATGATAATGGGATAAATGAAATAAAATTTGGAGAGAGCAACACATTCTCTTCCAACAAAAAAGTGAAATTAATCTTCTTCATGGAGTTAATATAGAAATTTTTTGTTATTGCTGGTTTTCTGAATTGATATTGAGAATGGAATATCAGAAGCACTGTTGAATGAGAATTGTGTTTGGGAACGGGTACTTTGAAATAATTTATGATATATGTATCTGGTTTTATAAATACTAGATAATGACAACTCAGAAACTCCTACAATAATGCAAGATATACACAAACCACAATTTAAAACTAACAATCATGCAATCATCAGGAAATGAATAATGAATTCACAGAGCAGTCAGTTATGTACAAAATGAATGGGAACAAAGTGGGTCACACCCTTCACTCAGATGAAGTATTCTTCAAACTTGAAGGATTTGAGGTTTTCACGGTGGTGAGTCTGAAGATGGCTGCCTTCTGGGTTGTTGTGCCATGTAGTCTGGTAGAAGATTACTGATATTTCAGAGGTCCTTGCTATCATCACGGTGCAAGGACCTCTGAAACATCAGTAAACTTCTACCAGACTACACCGAGCAACAAACCAACATTCTCAGCTACAGCAATTTAGTCCAACTATTCTGGCCAGTTCTACATGCAGGAAAATGAAACATCTGTTTTGTACAGGTGCAGTATATAGCTATATAAAACAGAAAGTTACTACGGCAGATGAAAAGAATTACTGTAATATATCAAACTATTCCCTTTCTAGGTACATGGTACACTCTCAGCTCTGTCCTTTAGTTTTCCCTATGGCCTTTAATTTGGTGGTACTTTTCATGTCACAACTGTTGTACAAGTTATTAAGGTTGCAGTACAAAGACAAGTCTGAGGCAGCAGAAACGTAACTGAGATCTCTGAAATTAGGTATGAAGCTATAATCAACAAACAAGAAATTGGACTAACCGTATGTAACATACAAACTGTGGCAATGTCCTTGTAATTCATGTCACTTACATACGGTGACCCAAGTACAAATTTCCACACAATCTAAATATATTAATAGTGTCCTGCTCTGGGAATGAGTAAAGAATCTTACAGAAGTTTACTTGAAGAAACTCATTCAAGAACAAAGCAGAATTCAGATCTTGCCTTTTTATAACGTTACACAATAAGAAAATAACTGTCATATAAAACAGTTTCGTACTGCCATTCTTTTCATTGTGGGTCGATAAACTTCACAGCAAACATATTATTGATATTATTTGTTACTATTTGCTTTAGTGATTTGTCAAAGAAATTATTTCAGGTAGTTAAAATAAGTAAATATAAACCTTCCCAGAGCATGTTAATATATGCAGAAAGCGAAAGGTTGTATGTATGTATCACTTATGTATGACAAACACATTACGTTACATATTTAAATTGACATAACACTTTACAACTAAGAAACACATGTTATGACAATAAGAGCATTAATAAATTATTTAAGTAATGGCATTCTGCAAACTCACTACTGACTATTTCAGTAAGTGAAATATACTTTAAGAGATTATAAACACAGATGTTAGTGATAATTAGTCTCAGGCTGTCTGATTTCAACTCTGCACCAACAACATAAATATGACAAATAAGAATATTATTTTGTACGAAGGAGAAATATGTAAAAAAAAAATAAACTGGTAACACACTTTGTACATTATCAGAATATAAATGGTTAAAATTCAAGCAACTAAATACAAGTTACATTTTTCATAGAATTTACATAATTTAAATAAATGACAGCAGATTAAAGAGGAAAAATAATCTGTCTAAAAAAAATGTAACACTGTTTTTGCATAAGAAATGCTTTGTTACAGTAGCCTCATGTTCCAACAGAGAGTGCATACATAGAAAAACAATTACTAAAGCAATGCAATTTATTTTGTTCTTTCACACATAAAAATTACATCCTTTAATAACCTCCACATTCATAACTGAGACTTACACTGTCTGCTTGGTTTGGACAAAGTTTCTTGTAGATACTTTCAATGAAGTTCCTCCTACAAAGAATCAAAAAGTAAAATAAGTAATCAACAGAACTTACTAAAAAAAATTACTGTAGCTCAATAGTATTCAGCATATGTTAATTCACACATAATATAAACTTTGTAATTTATACAAGTCACCTAGTATTGTACAGCAGAGAAATAAGCATTATCTATGTCAGTGGTATTAAACCTGGGGTACACGAAGACATCTTAGGGGGTACGTGAAATTTAAAAAAAAAATATTATTTTATGATAAACACTAAATAATCAGTAATGTAATTTATTTAATTTATTTTAGATGTACATTATATACTGTGTATAACTTGAATTATACACCAACAACTTTGGGGGTACAAAGTTGAAGAGAAATTATATCTGGGGGTACGCGAACAAAAAAGGTTGAATACCATTGGTCTATGTAACTGTAGCATGGAAGACAAGAGATGTATACATAGGAATCTCTTGAAAAGTGTCACTTGGAAGACCAAGAAGGAGAGGGAGGATAATAACATGGCTCTTAAAAGAAATGTGTCAAACCTTTGAGGTAAACCACCAGTTTGTGTGTGTAGCATGACATTCATACAAAATTGCGTGAAGATCAGTCAGTT